CTGTGACACCAGCTTCAGCCTGCTGAAAGGTATGACCCGTCTTAGTCAGGCCAGGGCATTTTTCTCTCTTTTATCTTCAACTGAGAAAGGCCCATGCTGTTCAGTGGGAAACCCAGAGATCTAGGTTGGATCTAGCTTGTTATGGCAGACTCAGAGAAGACTGGGCAAAGCTCTACTGTACAAGCACAACAGGACAATATTTTTCTTTTTCTTTTCTGTTAACTAAGGCTGTTTCTTAATATTATGGCAACCTGTCACATCTCATATTACTAGCAATGCCCTAATTTAAAAGGAATTGGTGTGTGGGAGYGGCAACCAGGATATCTGCGGGCTGCCCTGCAAGGAGAGCCCCGTTGGGTTTTTGATCAGGATTAGCTCTTGGTTAGGATTAGCCATGTGCAGAGTGTGAGTTGCGAGCAGGATTCTTGCACAGCAGAGGATTGCTTTTACACCTGACTAAATTCAGAAGTGACTATTGTAGCCCAGCACTTGATATTTATTTGCTCTTATAATGGAAGTTGAACAACAATGATAAAATCTCAGCTGTTTGTGTAGGTCTCCTAGGAGRTTCCCAAGCAATATATGCAGCATGTAAGATAGCTGACGTGAAACTAAAAATATATCAAGTAAATCCACAGTCCAAACTGTAGTCCAGATCTGTTCTGGGAACTGCAATGTGACTGAAAAAAAATATATGATTTTCATTGTCAGTGGATGAACACAATGTTGGAAGATGTTTTTATGTGTTACTGTCTTTATACATTTTATTAAATTGAATAGCACCCTGTACATCACACCCCCAAAATCATTTCTGTGATGTTTTATTTGCCCAAACATGAAACTTTCCATTATGTTTTCTGCCCCTCTGTCTTAATGAAATGAAATAATATTGTGGGATAAAAGTTCTCTTGTTAAAAAATAATTTCATTTGAAAGTGATAGAATTGAGTATTTTTTCAGCCAAAAGCTACTGTCAAATTTTATAAGTGATTTGAGTTGTTCTTTTAGAGCTTTCTTTGGCAAGCTTTGGCCAGCTCTCTGGCAGTAAGCTGCCTCCTGCACATGTACTAAATGAAGAAGCTTTTCTTTTCCTCTTGTTGAAAGACAGAAAGTGAAGTACAGACTCCCCTTACATGTAGCTACTTTCAGACCTGAAGGTCTTTCTGTGCCAAACAACTGTTTGTCCTTCAGCTCCACTTGATATCTCACTTTGGACACTGATGGTCAGATTTCAAGACTTCATCATTTATCGAGGGGTGGCTTTTAGTGGTGATGACACATGATGAGACATGTTGTATATGAGCCCAATGCATCCCGTCTTTCTTCGGCCTGCAAATGGAAATGCACCACTTTGGAATTCTGTTTTGTTGTTTTTGTTATTTGAAGATTTCAATGTTTTTAACTGAGGCACAGCAGCWGCTAAATACAAAGTGTTTGTCTCCTTCAGATTGAAAACATGAAAGAAATGTTATAGACAYTGCTTCTGAGTGCATTTTCTCTTACCATTGAAACTCATCCAAAATTACACTAGCAGAAAATGCAAAGATTGTTCGGTGTTCTGGCAGGACTGTGGTCACCAGTTACAGGCTATTCTAATGGATAATACACAGTATACACATGAAAGGAGAAATTGCMTTTTTTCAATATAAAGATTTGGTCTAAAATGTTATAAGGACCTCTAAAACACGAGAAGTAACACATAATATTTCAAAGTTGGAAAACTCTAAGAGTTTTCCCTTTATTATTCCACTCTGAATAAAAAACTTCTCACAAGCTTCACTCAGAAAACTTGTCCCAATGTGTATTCCATGAGAGTTCCACCTGGTTAAGAATATTTCTAGCTTTTGTGCCATGTACTGATTCTCATTTGAGATTTTTCATTAAAGTAAAGTTCATAGATGGAATCAATACCAATCAAATGATATCAGACAAGTCATTCATTTCTTTAAAATGTGTGCATGGCGTTCAACTTAAATAAAAATGAAATCTTTGGCAATTGAAAGTATTACCATTTTAATTAAAATGACTCCTCTGTTAGCAGACTGAAAGGGTCAGCTTGAGCCGGTCGGATGCTGTTTGCACACCACCAATCTCTAACTTGGGGAACTAAGAATAAGAAATAAGAACAGGAGTAAGAAATAAGAGTAAATTAAGACTGGAAATCTGCCTCACACCATTATACAGTAATAGCATCACATTTTTATAGTAGAAAGCTATTTCTGCTCCTCAAATGCCATAAAGTTCAGGGAATTTCAAACAGCTTTAGAGGAGTTTATAGTTAGGGTATTTCTTTAATAAACTGCTACTGACTGTGTCATTGTAACTTTTGTATGAAAGGAGATTTCATGTTTACTGTAATACCAAGACCTTTCTGAAGTCTTGCACATTGTTGATCCTCATTATTKTGTCTAGAGCAGCCAAAGGCATGATCACACATTTGACAATACRGAGCTCTAGATATTTTGTGTCAGGTGGTGTTTCTTCAACCTAACAAGGCGAAGCAGCGTGCAACTCAACTCAGACAGCTGGGAAATTATTCGTAGCCTCTATCCCGCCCTTCCTATAGTGTTTTGATTCTAGTGCAGTCATGCTGAAATGTATAGTTATTAATTTCAGGAGCTGCTGCATGAATATGCTGTACATCATACAGATACAGTCCATTGTAGGTTTAACTGTTTAATAGGGGTCCATTTTCAAAAGCTTCACAATTATTTAGGAAAGTAATTTCTATTGATTTTTGGTGCAAAACCCTTGGAATTTAAAATTGCCAAAGTATCGAAGAAAAAAATACCTAATAATATTACTCCAGAAGAATAAAATAAGTGGCAGTAGCTAGGTGGAGGGAACCAAACTAAAGCCACTTATCCTTACTGAAAGCATCAGCTCAGAACATCTTTATGCTTAAATTCACAGAAAATTTTTCGTACCTGAAAATAAATTGCATGGCTCCCTCAGCTTGTGCTGTCTGGGAGGGCTCTTGTGAAAGAACTTACAACAGCTGACTTACTGTCTTTACCCCTTGAGCATCTGAGTTGTTTGCCTGCATGTGTTGGCTTGTTGTAAACACACAACCTTTCTTGAGGGTGAGGGAGGAAGGTCCTCTGTTCCTTCAGAATATAAAGAGATTGCAGTGATGAAAGGACGAGTTGTGGGAAAGAGTTGCTTCTGATCTAATGAATACAAAGGAGACATTTCCACCTCAGGAGGTGAATRTGTGGTCATTACCAGTCACATAAAATATTTTAACTGCCCTCTGGAGTTGTGACTTCCAGCCTGTCATAAATCAGATAAGATACTGATGGTCAAAGAGTCTTATTCATACTCCCTGAGTCAAAAGAACTGTTTTCCCACAATCACTTTCACTCTGCACTCATTACCTAGTCCTATTTCAAACTACCCCTAGAAGTGCTCTCTTCTCTTCTCTTCTCTTCTCTTCTCTTCTCTTCTCTTCTCTTCTCTTCTCTTCTCTTCTCTTCTCTTCTCTTCTCTTCTCTTCTCTTCTCT